AAAAAAAAAAAGCAGCATTTTCCCAAATATTTTTAAGCCACAGAATTCTTTGCAAACAAAATCTTAGAGGTAAGCAGAACTGCTTGGCCTAAGCAGAAGTGGAGGCCCGGGGGTCTCATCTGCTTAGGTTCCCCTCGCTACCCTACCACGCAACCCCTGGAACACCAGGGCCGCCCTGCGCCAGATCTGAAAATCACTGACACATGACTCCATGTAGGTTTTAACATGTTGCTCCATTTCAGTCTGAAGCACCAGTTGACTGGGGTTGCAGTTAAAGAATCATTAGATATCAATGTGAATTAGTATTACAATTTTTAAGAAAATATGTAGATGAAGCAATAATCACATGCAACGTTTTCCAATATGTGTTCATAAGCTGGCCCTATGTTGGAAAGACTTTACAGTGGAATAAGATTAAAAAATAGTATGTGCCTTCCCTTGAAGATCTTTAGTACACATTAATATAATATATTAAAGGCTCTAAGAAGTCCTACAATAATTAGTTTAATTTTGTTTATCCCGCAAGTTCCCAAATTAATATTGGATGGAAGAAGCTTTGAGAAGTGCTGGGTTAATATAAGTTACTGCATAAGTCAGTCTTTTTCTTTCCAGTATTGATTTTTTTCTGAATGTAAAAAAAAAATACTTGCCCATTGCAAAAAATTAAAATAAAAATTAAAAACAGAAATAAAGATGACAACATAAAAAAGAAAAATAGACCCATCTTTCCATCACCTATGCCCAAAATGGGCCAAAAGAAGGTCCCTCTCACCTTCTGTGGGGACAATCTAGACCCTTCACCAGGGCCCTGGAAGAGTGAACGGGGCACACAGGGCACAGTAGATACATTAGCAGGTGACTTGTTAAAAGGCCACCTGAGCACCTCTGGCCAAAGTAAAGATGTGCTTCTTGACTACGGCACATCCTCTAAGAAACCTGGAAATAGTTTGAGTGCTTTGCAACTACTCAAGAGAGACTGGCTTTCTGATTTCTTTTATAGAAGAGTAAATGGCTTTATAAACTTTAATGTTCTATTTTACTGAAAGTTTATATGATATGAAAAAATAAGACTTTCCATCAGTAATCGAGAAAAAATAGGCAAACACCAAAAGGAAAATGTACTATGAAGTTATTGTAGACTTCGTTGTCACTGATGGTGTCTGACCCTCACACAGAGCACAGACCTGACGACTCACCTTTGGCCCTTGGGTTCCTATACCCCGAGGCCCAGAAGGACCCGGAGGGCCTCTGACCCCAGGCTCTCCCTGAAAAGACACAATGAATGACAAGTTACTGTTTTTTTTAAACGTTAGGTTGTATAATATTTCATAATATTTTTTACAATATCAAAAAAATAAAGACAATCCAAATGTCTACATAAAGAGGAACACTTAAATGAATTATAGTTATGATATGTCAAGTGGACATTAGTTATTTGCAAGAAAAATTAATGATGTGCAAAGATTATTTCAGTATAATATTGAGTGGAAAATATAAAATGGCTTATATATATTATGATCTAAATGGTCTAAAATGCCATATTTCCATAGAAAAACATCTGAAAAAAGTACGCTAAAGACTAATCATGCTTACCTGAATTGTGGGATTAAGGACAATTTTTGCATTCTTTTAAAAACTTCCTGATCTGAGTTTTCTGCAAAGGGTATATATTGCCTTTATAGTCAGTAAAATAATTTAATAAAAGAAATTCTATTTTATTATCAGGTCTGGGTCTATAATATCCTGAGTGTTTTTTCTTGGTAGACTGGGTATGTTGGTTATTATTCATAAAAATATGTGACAGTAGAAAAACATATTTAAATCCAACCCACCTGTAAATCGAAGACTTTAGTATCACCTTGAGAAAAAATTATGAATAAGGAAAACAAGTGACAGGTCCATTCCATAACAAGGCATCATATTTGTAGAGAACAGTTTGCGTGGAGTTTGCATTCACTGACCCATCACTAACTGCTGCTTTATAGGTTCACCCATTTTTAACTTAAGTATTATATATCCTTTCCCCAATTAGTGACTTAAAAATGGTTGCTAAGAGAGACTTAAATAAAGCTGAGTTCATGGGCTGGGTTTATTTTGCTCTACAGGATCATACCATCCAGCGAGTATGAGGTACAAACATTCCAGCTCAGAGAATGAATTTCTTTAGTTAACCTCCAAAGGCTTACCTAGGCTTCCACTAGGCTTCAAAAGAAATTGCTGGAAAAAAACCCCTAACCTTTGAAGGACATCTCTCTCCAAGCTTCCTTATAACATATTTTCTAGTCTTTCTTGATGACCAGATGAAGCATATTATAAGAACCACTTGATCTGAAATCCAAGCCGATTTAAAGAACTGAAAATAGCAAACTATATTAAAGCAAAAAAATTAGGGATTGCAAGCACCATGAAATCAGCAACAAGTGAAAGTTGTCTTGGAGTAGCAGGTCCCCAAAGTCAGCTATTTTAAGCCTTTTTCTTATTAAGCCTGTGCTCAGCCTGGAGATAGCTTCTTTGGGCCCTGGAAGTTTGGATCCAAATGAGTTGGAAACTTAGAACCAAACAGCATCTGATTTGTACCTGATTATGCTTATGTGGTCTTCCTAGGTCAGAAATCCTCAGAGTCCATCCTTGTCAACATTTTCAAATGTGCATTCAGGGACATATTTAATGGATATTATTCAAGTGCAAGGAGTTAGGGAATGCTCTGACTTCTCAGCTCCCAGAGGATTAGAATTAGCAGCTTGAGCCAAGATGGCAGCCAAACCAATTTATCCTGTTCTTTCTTTTGTGACCATGACATCTGTTTCCAAAGAGTGGGGAGAAAGCCAGCTAGACTGGGTTAACAG